GGAGGAACCGCCGGGCTGGCGGAGCTTTCCCGCCCCGCGGAGCCCGGATGCGAGAGGTCGCGGAGGACGCCGGGCGGGCGAGAGTGGGGTACCCCGGTCGCCGCCCTTCCACCTGCGACGGACCCAGGCGCTGCCATGGGCTACCAGGGGCAGCAGCCCGTCATCCCGCCGCAGGTAGNCATCCCGCCGCAGGTAGAGCTGGAGGCGGGGGCGGCTCCCCCGGTCGGCTTACCTTCCCGCGGGGCCCGCTTTAGCACCCCCGAAAGTTCTCGGGCAGAAAAAGTTTTGCCTTGATCTGACTTTTTTTTTCTTCCCCCCCCCCCTTGGCAGGCACTTTTAACGTAACCCCTTAACTTTCACAAAAATCACATCGTTGGCTCCCTAACAGACCCTTTGCTCCGGGATCCCGCGCAGCCCGGGAGCCCGGGGCGCCGGGAGCGGGCGCCCGGGGATGGAGCTGGTTGCAAAGCTCTGTTGAGCTGGCAGCTGTTATTGTTACTCTGTTACCTCGTCATTGTTTTCTTCTCGGGATTGACGTTGCTTAGTACCATTCCTGATTCCCTCTTAGGCGACTCCATTGCATATTTGTTTGACAGTTTTCTGGTTTTCGAGCTAGTAAGTATTTGTCTAATTTTATCTATCATTGTCCATTTTATATATTTAACAGAGCGATCTAGATGACAAAGAAATCCTCGTTTCTGAACACGAGCATAAAGGGAAAACTTGTCGTCAGTCTGCTGCTGTTTTCAATGTTGTCAACTCTATTATAGGATCTGGTGTCATAGGTGCGTGTTGCTTTGTTGTCGTCTTTTTAATTTTAAATGAAAAGGCCAAATTTAAGACTCTTTTTATGTTGTTAGTGTTTACTGTAAATTTTTTACAGGAAAGATCTTAAATGATAAGTTGGTAATTTTCTTCCATAAAAGCTTTCCATTTTCTCCAGTGTAACAGTGGGCATCATATCAGTCCCTTTTTTCTCCTGAAGATTGGGTTTGACCCACGCTCCTTCTACAGCTGAGAGCATCCTTCACATGTTAGGTTAGGTGTCGCTTCCTATGAGAGGTGCTGAAAGGGTTTTTATCATAGGCTGCCTGGTCAGTTGATAATGTTATCTAATTTATTTTTTGCCTCTTCCTGAAGTCACCATCATTACTTAAATCACTTTTTTATGACCTTCTAGAGGTGTAAACCCTCCAGATATTTGCAAGTATTAGAGGTACAAAAATTTAATGTGAAAACATAACAACCTTTTGAAAAATTAAATCCATATAATGTTTCCTACCTGTCTATATAGTGTTAAATTTAAAGTACAAACTTATTAATTTATATCAATTTTAAATATCATTTAATCAATAAATAAAAATTGGTTAAATAAAAGTGCATATGATTTTTTTTAACAAAGGAGCCAAATCATAATTGAAAGAAATGAGCAGCTCATATTTTCTCACTTTGAAGCAAGGGGAAAATTATGACAAAATTAAGTGCATTGCGTTATAGTAAGAAAGGTAGTTTTTTTTTCCATCCTTACTATTCTTTTTGTTATTTGAAAACACCCAATTTAAGAAAAAGTAGGGACAAAACAGAATCCTCCTCTACTCATTGAGAATATTATTTTTTTTCTTGTGAGGTTTTGACATTTTAGTCACAGTCATCATTGAATATTTTTCTGGAGTGAGTTACTTTTCTTACCTTTCACAAGTTGATGTGTTTTTTATTTTACTTGTTTCCACATATAGATATTTTTCTTTTCAAATGGTACAGCAACTGGAGGAAGCTGAGGCAAAGTAACAGCAAAAAGGGTCCAAGACTTGTTTGAAATCTTGCCTCTGTGTATCACAGAGGTGTGGGCAGCTATAGTTGGCAGAATTCCAGAATTAATTCCTGATGTGAACACTTGAAGCTGATCCCTGTCAGCAGCATTTAAAGTACCTCTTAATCTGCTCAGAAGATTTTTTTAAAGGGAAACTTTCTCAGAGAGTAAAAATTCTGGGTGGAAATATTTTATTTAAAATATTTTATTGTCCATAATCTAAAATTGTTCATTTTCCAAAATATTCATAAGAAAACATTTCATATTACTCCCTTCAGCTTAATAAAAATACTTTTCCCCGCCTTTTCTGACACGGTTGCCCATTTTGACTCCTCCTGTCCCATTACCCTCCTGTGCTCTTTTTACCCTCTCTGCTTTCCCAGTAGCATGTGAAGAAAGCTTAGGGTCCTTACTCTCCACATTCCAGGTCACATGGTCCCCTCACCCTGAGGGGAACATGTGTGAACTGGCATCTCTTTTTCACTGGCTTCTTTCTTATTCTTATGTATCGCCTCATAAACTTGCTCTCTTGGCATGTCCTTAACTTACAACATTTTATTCTAAAATACGTGTTAATATATTGACGTTTAAGTTTTGTAGTCATATGCACTGTTCACGATTATGTCATACAAACATGTCAATTTACTTAGCCTGCTCTATGTAGGGATTGGGAACCCCCTTCTGTATTTCTGTTTCATTAACGTGCCGGGGGGGCATTCATGTTTTTCAGGACTGCCGTATTCAATGAAGCAAGCTGGCTTTCCTCTGGGAATATTGCTTTTATTCTGGGTTTCATATGTTACAGGTAAAATACTACGTAACTGCTCATTCCTGTAACTTAAATTGCACAAGGACTATTTTACACACACACACACACACACACACACACACACCCTGTAATTGAATTTACTAATTTTACAGGATCAAAGAAGCCTAAAGAATTTATACTTACGTCTGAGGAGATTTACTTTTCTTGCCAATCCTCTGAACAGATTAGCAAAGCATTATGTATTACCAAGCCTAAATCCTTCTCATGTGCCTTTGACTTGATGCAGAAAGTGGTAGGTGGGAAAGTCAGCTTAAAGGCGGGTTCAAGCTCAGACAGCTGTGCTGGGGACGTCTTCCCCACAGCGACAGGGGCAGGCGCACATCAGCGAGCGGCCCTTTCCAGCTGGGGCCGCAGGTGCACCTGAGAGCCCTGGCGCCGCCTGGCCTGCGCCTGCCCGGCTCCCGCCGGCCGCTGTCTTTCAGCCGGCGATAAGGACCTTCCGTACTGCTGCTTTCCCGCCTCCTCTTTTCGCGTCACATGCTCATTCACACCACGTTCTGCCGCTCCCTGTCGGAGTGCAGACTGTGCAACTCATAATCAGCTCTTCTTCCTGTTGTCCTTGTCATCCCACCAAGCTCGAGTCACGACAAACACAAGGGCTTTCCTCTACCACAGGATCACTGTGAAAAGACGCCACCTCCCGCGGTTGCTGCTACGGTGGCTGCTGGGTGTAGTCACCTAGATGCCTTTTTACCAGGGAATGCAAAACACCTCCGCTGCCCCCTTCCCCATAGTGTTGACCTGGGCCTCAGTGCCACCCCTTCCTGCGAGGCTGTGACCCCCAGATGCCTCTTCCCCACGGCCTTCAGCCAATGACCGACTGAGGTAGGAACCTTGGCTCCAGGAGGGATCCCAGGGTGGTGCAGTTAGAGCTCCAGAGTGACACCCCCGCAGGGCTAGGCAGCAGCTGGCCTCCACCTGGGACCTCGTCCTTGCTGGGCTCTCCCCTCCCATCCTCTCACTCCCCTTCTCCGGGGAGCGCTCCCCCAGATCCCTTGCCCGGGAATCTCTCTCTCAGCTGTTTCTGGAGACCAAGACGCTGTCTCTCATAAACCCTCAGGCTCCACGCCCAGCCTGGAACTGCTGTTTGCCTCAGACCGAGGAAGAGAGCGGAAAGCGTGCAGTAGACCCCAAAGTCAGAGCTCTGCAGGCACTGGGCTCCCTTCCTCCTGCCTTCTCACCACCCAAAACCTAAGCTGCTTTTAGCTTCCACAGCTCTTCATTTGTAGCTTAATTTGTAACGCAGTAATGTGGGATCCATAACTTGGTGCTCATTCATAGTTGCTGGTGTTTAAAAATTGCATTCTGTTTGTAAGAGCATTTATCACACTACAAAATCCCATTCAAGGATTTACCCTTGTCATTTCTAATTTCCTGCTTCCCAGTCAATCAGCACTGACAAATAATTAATTTCCACCCAGGCATAATAACCGTGCCTTATTTAAGTGCTTTGTAAATGTTTACGCACGTTAAATAAATCAAAATATATAGGTTCAAAACTTGAGGAGAATGAACAGTTTACTAAAGGTAGATCTTATTATAAACAAATAAGTTATACTGTGAATAACTTTTTCAACTAATACTATATATAAACATACAGCAATCACTATGAGTAGTCTTTGCAAAGTCATATATTGCAAAGTTATTAACTGCTAGAAATTAGTTACCTCTTAATTTAGTTATATGATCAAAATCCTTAAATAATTTTGATGAATAAAGGATAACCACACAAAATCAAAGAAACTGTAGAGACAATGATTCATTTTGTTTTTTAATTAGGCTTTTAAGAGCAAAATTTACAAGTGGGATATAATATTAAATTTTTCTTTATTTGCAACAAATAATTTTATTTTAAATTGCTCTAAGATTTTGTTATTTGTCAATTAGAGTAAAATATTTTTTATTGCCCAAGCATACAAAATGATTTAAAATAAAATTTTTGTGTTGAATAACATAGACTGATTCGTGGATTACCTAAAATTTATATATCATATATTTAAAATGAGATCAAAATGTTATAGTGATTGATATCTGAGATTCCCAGAACTTTTAAGATAATATATTTATAGCCTGTATTTTACAAGGAGATGAAATCATTTACATTTTTCATTGACTTAGTTCTTAGCAAGTTGTTAACTTCAAGCAATACGTTTTGAACTTTTATGAACCTTGGCATTCTCACTCCAAGCATGCAATTCTTCCCCAATAATTAACAACATCTGTGAAATTGGTTACTTCCTCTCTGTTACTCAGGTTATCACTGATTGTCTTCTTTGGCCAATAAGTTGCTGTTTTACTGCCTTTAGCATCTGTCTGCTTTCTGATCAGTCCTCTATATTGCTGCAAGAGTTATCTTTATAAAACCTTGACCTGATCACTGTTACCCACTCATCCCCAAAGCAAAGCATTCCAAGACTCCATAATGACAGCAACAACAACAAAAATACTGCATTCAGATTCCTTCATAGTGTAGTCACAGCCTGAATTTTCAGTCTCATCTCTTAATTACTCAAACCTCTCTTTCACCCCGTCACCAATACGCCAGGTGTGGACCTTAAATTTTAGCTCTTCTGCATTATTTCCTTCCTCACATACAGAATATGCTTTCATGGGTAGTCCCCCAGCTTGACATTCTTTTCTTTCTCTACTTGGTGAAATCCTATTCATCCTTGAAGGCACTACTCAACTCTTCTGTGAAGCTCTTCCTAGATTTTCTAGCCCATAATATTTACTGACACTGCTGCCGTTGTAGCAATGAAGAGCATTATCCCGGCGTGTATGAAGCTCACTGTGTAGTGTGTCAGGCAGACAAAAGTACATAGTTGCAATAATTCATCTAAAATACCGTAATAAAATATGTGCATGGTTATGGGGCCATTGGCATTTAACACAGCCTCAAAGGAGTGGGCGTGTTTGGGAGAGGACAAGATGCCTCCACTAAATGTTTATGAAAATGTATGAGTGAGCAAAGAAAATGGAAGGTTACTCTAAGCAGATGGAAATGTGGAAATACAAAAGAGAACTGTGTAAATATGCAGTCTGGCTGAAGTGTAGGGTTGATGTTTGTAAGTGGAGGGAGACGCTGGTAGAGTTTGCAGTGCCATATGAAGGCTCTCATGAATGGCTTCAGCACCTGAGGACTGGCTAGATGCTGAGCATAAAGCTACCACTATACTTAATCCTTCTGACTCCGTGAAGCATGTATTCACATTCTAATTTTAAGGAGGAGGGAATCAGAATTTTAACGGTTAAAATGACTTGCCCAAGATCTACAGTTGCATGCATCAGAGCTGAGATTTTGATTAAGTACATGGATTTGGGGGCCAGGCTGCCAGGACCTGAATCCCAGTTGCTCCATTGCTAGCTCTGTGAAGTTTGGCAATTTACCTAACCTTCTGTGCCTGACTTTTCTCATTTATTAAATGGAGCTAATAATGGCACCTACCTAGGATTGTTATAAAGATTAAACAAGTTAATATATGTAAAGCGTTTAGAAAAAGGCCTGGCACACAGGAAGTATTGTGTAAGCATTTGCTAGCATTTTTGTGATTGTAATATAATAATAATTCAGAAAAGTCAAGTTATTCACCCAAGGTCACACAGCTAATAAACAACTTTTTCTGCCTTATGAAAAGAAGTTGATTTTTATTCAAAGGCATTAGAGGATCCCTTGGAGTATTTTCAGCAGAAGACATGATCAGATTTATGATATGGTCAGACTCATCTAAGGGAGAATGTTGAGAAGGTCTTAGCAGATGTCAAAAATGTTTTGGGCCCGGCCGGGCGTGGCTCAGCGGTTGAGCGTCAACCTGGGATCCAGGTGATCAGGGTTCGATTTCCGGTCAGGGCACATGCCCGGGTTGTGGGCTGCAGCCGATCAGTGACTCTCTCATCATTGATGTTTCTCTCTCTCTCTCTCCCTCTCCTTTCCTCTCTCTGAAATCAATAAAGATATATTTAAAAAAAAAAAAAAATGTTTTGGTAGGGGGGGAGATTGGGNCTGCAGCCGATCAGTGACTCTCTCATCATTGATGTTTCTCTCTCTCTCTCTCCCTCTCCTTTCCTCTCTCTGAAATCAATAAAGATATATTTAAAAAAAAAAAAAAATGTTTTGGTAGGGGGTGAGATTGGTGGATGAGAAAACTATTTGGAGGTTATTGCAGTAATCCAGATCACATATGATAAAGGCCTAAGCCCTAAAATAAAGCAGATTAAAGATTAGAAATGAAGAGATACAGTTCAATAATTTATGATGCAGTAATGGACTCGGTGACCAAAGGAACATAGAAGATGATGGATAATGAGAAGTCAGGGTGATTCTCAAGTTTTTCTTTATACTATTCACAGGTTGGAAAAATATGAATGAAAAAGCAGGTTCCGGAACAAAAGTATAAATTAGAACTTGGATATTTTAAAACTGAGATGTCTATGAGATCTCCAATGTAGAATGTTTACTAGGCAGCTAGATGTAGAAATCTGGAGTTTTGGAATCTGGGCTAGAGATACAAATTTGGGGGTTACTGACATCTGTGGGAAATTTGAAACCATGGACATGAATAAGATCATAGTACTACATCTTAAAGAGTGAGAAAAATGTCCAAGAATTCAGAATAAAAGAAAACAGGTGAAAAACTGAATATAAGTGGCCAAAAAGGTAGAAGGAAATCCAAGAGAAAGTGATGCCATAAAGGCCAAGGAAGGATGGTTGAAAAAGAGGGGAATGGTAAACAGGAAAAAAAATGTTACTGAAAAAGCAAATAAGATTAAGATTTAGGGCATGTTAATTGGATTTATTAATTTGGAGCTTTTTGAAGAATTTGAAAGAAGTTTCAGTGATGTGGGGAGGAATTAGGGTGGAAGCCACACTATAATTATTTGTATTTTCATCTTTGTCTTTTAATGAATTTCCAAATTACTTAAAGGACTAAAAGAAATCACCTGTGGTGGAAACATGAGCAAGAGAAAAGAGCAAGAATCACACCCTGTGCATTGCTCTGTACCCAATACAACTGCATTGTTGTTCCCTAGGTTAAATGTCATTCACTAGGTTCACTGAGTTAAATAGGGGGAAAAGAGATATTAACTTTTAATTATATAATATCTATATATTTATGCCTTCAATTTCAACTCTAAAATTGAAACTTAAATCTCTAAATTGTAAATTTCAAACAAAAGTCTTAGAGTACTCTCTTAACTATAATAACCACAAAATAGAGTTACTAGTTTATAACTGTAGTTATAAAACAAATGATCTGAGTCTCATAAATCTATTTTTATGCATGATTACAGCATTTTTCATTCTCAGTCTTCAGATTTTGAATGTCTATGAAATAATTGATTACTTACATTCTGTTTCATGGCTGGTGGAGCCACATCCTATTATTAGTCTTTGCATTGGTTAGTTAGGAAGTAAAATGAAAATCTGATGCTCGATTCTAGTCTGTGGACCTTCTTCTGTCCAGTTCATTGCATGGATATATCAAGTATACTTGCATCTTGATTGAAAAATACATAACTGGAAACAGTACCATTTCATGAAAAGTAATGTTTTATGGAAAGGAAGTAAGGCTTGCCATGCTAATTTACTATAGCTTTAAATCAAACTCTTTAAAAAAGAACACCCTTTTATTTTAGTCAAATAAAACTTTTTATTTAAGTCATGAAAACCTTTGTATTAAATGTAATCTAACATTTGTTTAATTTTTATTTTTGCCACAGACTTTTCCCTTGTTCTGTTGATAAAAGGAGGGGCTCTCTCTGGAACAGACACTTACCAGTCTTTGGTCAATAAAACCTTTGGCTTTCCAGGGTATCTCCTCCTCTCTGTTCTACAGTTTTTGTATCCGTTTATAGGTAAGATGAATGTGAAGATGCATATTACAATTATTTGCATAAACATACTGCCACTTTTGAATAAAATAGTTTTAATAGTCATTGCATAATCGTTAAAGAGTACTAGTAGTGAAAATATATCCCAAATTAAGTGTTTACTTCTTTAGGCATTTCCTCCTTATTTCCTAGTCCTTTTGGTTGGTTTTCTGAGTATTTTATTGAAATAAAATGAGAGTGATTTGCAGTAGGTTAATGCTTGTGCTTCCATAGTTTGGTGAAAAGTGGAATGACCTGGGATTAAAAGTGAGTGAGAGAAACAATAGATTTCTTCTAGGGATGAAATACTATTTTTGAAAACCTAAGGATTTGTGGAAGCCACATACAAAGGCCAACATACTACTTAAAGTTTGTGCCATAATAGTGAAAATGTCACTTAGCATTTCTTAAATAAATAAAATGTTAACATTCAACAATGGCCACATTGACTTCAGTTTTTAAACCACTAATACAGAAGCTGTTTGCTTAAACCACTAGTTTCTTATGTCTCCACCAAAGACTAAGAATATATTTCCCCAAAATATTACTTTTTAAACAAGGAGATATTTTGGGGCCTTTACAATTTTCTGTTATTATTTCTCACTTTGAACAATCCATGCATTCCTGAAAAAACATTTGGAAACTGAATTTTAATGACAAGTAAATCACATTTAAATGACTACCAAACTTCACTATTATTTAAAGATGCTTGGAAAAAATCAATTTGTAAAGTGAAAATCTTTTTTTAATGCAAATTAATATTCTCCCATAAATTTGTTATCTAGTTACTTATAAAGTTGTACATATTGGCAATCAAAATATATATTTGAAAGTAGTAAGATTATGCCAGTATTTGGGAAGTAGTAACTGATTATTTTGAAGATATTCAAGATGAAAATTGTTAATGACTGTATTATTTTAATTATGTATTTAGCTATGATAAGTTACAACATAGTAACTGGAGACACTTTGAGCAAAGTTTTCCAAAGAATACAAGGAGGTAAGTAAATATATTTATTTTACATATTTTTTTATAGTTAATGTGGTTCATAGTAATTTATAAGTCAAATATTTGCAAGTTGAATCAAATATGAGCGTTTAGCCTGGCCGGGCGTGGCTCAGAGGTTGAGCATCGACCTAGGATCCAGGCGATCAGGGTTCGATTCCCGGTCA